AACTGTCGACGGCCCACTTGCTCACCGCCAACTGTCAACTCTCAACTTGCTCAACCCTTAACTGTCAACTTGGTCAACGTCAACCGTCAACTGGATTAACCCCCAACTTTCGGCTTTCTCAACCACCAACTGTCAACTGGCAACTGTCAACTGTCCAATGGCTGAACCGTCAACCGTTAACTTGCTCAACTGCTAACTGTCACCTGACAACTTACTCAACCGTCAACTGCCAAATAGTAACCGATTTTTCAGCTGAATTACCAATTCGCTTCCTAGTTCGATTGCTGGCTCAATGAATGGATATCTATTCCTTGATTCTGATACTTCTGAATTATAGTATACTCCAATCCCACAGATCAAGATATATAACCGGTCGCAATATAATCCGGGACATGATCCGTCAAGGATATATGTACGAAATGGAACTCATTTCATCATATATACATGTATCTTGCTCAACTACGAGCTAATGACAGTCATGAGGAATATAAATAACAATCTACAATTGGTTTTGAGAGTCCTGATGCACTTGATCCAATCCTACTCATACACATCGTCTCTTCTGGGTGGATGATTCTAGATTCATCCTCTCCACCAACAGTCGCTTTCGCGGCCCAAGCTGGACCTTAAAGCCAAGAAATGAATGCCATTCCCGGCTAATAGCTCGATATTGCATCCGGCGCTCTTCAACATGCCCTGGTGCTTCCTTTAAACCTCGCGCGTAGATTGTGCCTGCTGTCCATGATGTATGGCTTCCTTGCTGATCTGTTACCTTCTCATTGACCCCGTAATCCCGCTTAAAACCACCGCTGGGGAGATGGGCGCGAGAGATCGCAATCGCTGCGTGCCGATAGTAGGTGATGTTCCATTTGGTTTGGAGATGCTGCCGCGCCTCTCGTTCTAGAATCTTGCTGAGGTAGCTGCTATCTTCCCCTTGATGAGCCTTGGGCCAGAGAAAGGGGGAGGGCGCCTCTGTCTTCCCAAAGGCAAGGATCTCCAGCTTTTCGCAGAAGGGAAGAATCAGCCAGAGGTAGTAGATCATCATCTCACTCACTGGCTGTGGCAGATATCGATGGATAATCTTGGTCGATCCAGTGACATGATAGCCCTTGTGATAACTGGTTACTGTGCTGACCAATCCCTGCTCAATAAAGATACTGCGATGTCGCCCATGGACCGTATTGTGGTGACGCAGACTCAATATCTCTGTCCCTCGCGCGGGCTGGCCCCCAGTAATATGACACAGCAGCAGGAGCAGTTCTAAGAACTGATCGCGGTCTTGAAGATATGCTTGTACTGCAGGAATCTTCTACTGGACCTGATGGCTAGGTTGCTGGATATCAAGAAATTCCTCCTGAAGCCACTCGGTTTTTAGCACGTAGTTTAAGAGCCATCGCTGCCCATTTGGAAGAGCCTCTGTATTTTGTACATCTTGGAGAAAGTTCCAGCCACAACGGCTCTCCGTCGGATCGTCCTTTAATCGAGAGAGAGGAATGATAGGGACGACATCCTCTCGAGTCTCCTCATCGTGGAGAAGAAACAGTGTCTCTAGACTCTGCTGTGCCTGTCGAATCTCAGTCTGGATAAAATGCCGGAAGGATTCCATGGTCATATCTAGTCCCTTGTAGGTGAGCCGTTCTTAATCCTCAGACCAATAGATATAACCAAGACTGGTGGTGGTATTCTGGATCTTTTTCCCATACGTGCGGAGTCGTGTGATCCAGGCAAAGGGGCTTCGCGTTCCATGGATTAAGAATCGCTCTCGCATTTCATCAAGAGCATCTGCAGGATGCTCCACCTGGTCTTCGTCAGCCTGGATAATAGCCTCCTGAACCACAAGCATCTGGGCCATCTTAACCAGACCAGATAGTGATGGGGTATATGAATATGCATCCCGAAAGGTCCGTTTCTCTGCATCGACGCCTAGCACAGCAAGAAAGCCAACTACTGCGCTTTCATAGAGATCTCCTTTTAACGTGTGATCGAGCAGGCATCGAGAGACGGAGACAGGCCTGGTCCAGCAGCGCTTGGGCTTCAGCCAGGGTCGACCCTCGGATCACGGTGGGAAGCGGCCGTGTGATTTGGCCTTGATAGGCTAATACCTCAATCCCATACTCCACCATCTCATCAAGATGCTGGAGTTGCCGTGGGGTCAGCCGATGACGCAGCTGGACAGGCTGCTCGGGCTGGGTGGAACGGTGGACGAAGGAGAGAAGCCGTTGCCAGAGATGTTCATAACTCCGATAGGTTGCCTTCTTTAATTGAATGAATAATGGTCGATCCCAGGCCCGTCGGTGTTGTAGGAAACTATTAATCTGGACTTGATCAAAAACATTGATCTTATCTTCTTGAATTGATTGATGTGCTTGTTGAATAATCCTGCTAACACTACTAGCAAATTCTGCCAGGAGTGGTTCCTGCAAGGGATCAGGCCGTGCTCCTAGCAGTGCCACCTGCTGAAAGGAGTATCCACAGAGATAGTCCCCCCAGCGGGTCATCTCAAGCCAGGGAGAGGCCTCTGTTGGTGCCCTATGACTCTGGATCATATTACTTGCAGTATCGATGATCGCCTCACTTTGGGCTAATGCGGTATTGACCTCGGCTTCAATCCGGTTTGCTCTAGATAATGGTGTAGTTTGTAACTCCTGATTAATCAATGATAAAGAAGGAGTCACAGCAAAGTATTGACTTCCCACCCTGGACAAGAAGAACCGCTGACAATGCACTCGAGGATAAATATGGATATGGTGGGTGAAGGCACGTGGAGGACCTCGTGGATTTTTTGGGATCTCTGGATGCTTGAGGATATGGATTCGCATGGTTTCTTTAGCTACTGCCACATAGGGACATGTCGTGCTTGGACATTGATATCCTTGAAAGATTGGGAGATAGGGAATAGGAGCACTGGTAGATAATGGGAATTGTAGACTTTGCTTCTGGGGATCAATCCAGGGCTTTTTAAGCATTTCTTCCAAGATTTGCTGTCGCTGAATCTGGGTTTTTATCCGATAATCATGGCCATGTTTCTTGGCCAAATGTGCCAGTAGATGGGATGGAGACATTGCATATCGACAGGGCTGGCAGATCCAGATCTAGTGGTCTGGAATGTACTGGAACAGTTCCATCACTCAGAGATTGTGGTGGGTGGAAATTGTCGCTTTGGCTGGGATGAATGAGCAGATTAGTCAGAGGAGAGAGAGAGAGAGAGAGAGAGGATCGTTAACCAGATCAAGGTTGGAAGGAATGTAGGTTAAAGGCCTGGTCGCAAAGTGAGAATCATCTCAATTCTCTCCCCACACAACGCCGTTGCCTGGTCGTTCCTCTTTTTCTCTCGTACTCTCCCTCTATGCGACGCGACGCGTTCTTATCATTGCTCCCTTTGTTTTTTCTCTTGGGTGGAGAATTAGATTAGATTTGCGGCTCTGGCAGTTGGAGCGCATGAACCGTAACCCTAAGAGTGGGGCACGGGGGAGCGGCAGCCAATCAGCGGGCGGGTAATTGTATCCTGGGTGCGAAACAATTGACGATAGGGTATAGGTAGTGGTAATTTCATGCCTTCTAGGAAGTTGACAAACCAGCTTGAGGAAAGAGTATTAGGGTTGGCGGCACTTATAGCGGTCTCGCTGATAGATATAGGCTTGAGTCCTGTAGTTTCACTGATTTCTGAGAATAGTAGTATAGGATTGACAGGGATTAGAGAGTATTGACCATCTAAGATTTGGCCAACTTTCCTTGGCACATTGGTGACTCGGTACGAGACCCATTGGGAGCTGCATTCTATCTGGCAGTTAACAAAGAATGCAGAGATAATCTCTTTTTAGGCCTCAAGGGTTAGGAGGGCTTCTGGGGATGAGGGACATAGTGCAAAACCAGTCTTTATAGCTTGAACTTCTTTTAGTGCTAAACTGTTTGAGTTTAGTTGAGACCGTAGGCTAGAGTAGATAGTGTAGGCTTCCATTTTTCTAGCTGCATGGTCAGCTGGGAGGCATTGATGATTGATTGATTGATTGATTGATTGATTCATACACGCATCTAAGCCTAGTGGCCGGCGGCGCCTTCTAATTGGGCAGCGGGCGTACTACCGTATAAAAGCATAAATCAACGTCAACGTGCCAAGACGCTTCCGGCTTGACGCTGACTTAGTCAACTCCACGCGAAAGTCTCGACACGTATCCGTATCCAGATCCGAAGACCACCAACAACAGATAACGAGCGAACAGAACGCCGAACCAACAAAGGAAATGTGTATATATACAAAATGAGTGAAGGATCTCGGTGCGGGGTGACGTGATATTTATGTTTTGGTGCCCGGTTCTATTTCCAAACGTGTCAAGTGGCTGATCCGTCCAAGCCGAATCAACATGGTTACTCTTCATCAGGTAGTGTCGCACTCACTGTGAGCGCGTGGTTGTTAAGGGGTTACGTGATGGAACTGCGTCAATAGACCAGTCCGCATCATAAATTCATACTCTGCCGACCCACTGAGGTCGCTAAGAGCTCCGATATCTGTTTCGCGTGCTTCTTTCAGAGAGTCTCCATACGCAGTTTATTGGGTAGACACCGTATGAGGACGTGGGCCGTATC